TCACCATTAGGTACATCTATGCCTTTTTGAGTAGCAGGTCTTGCATCAATGCGAGCCACCCAAGCTTTTAAATTTGGAAAATCATCTAGATTTGGAATTCCACAAAAGACGTGGAACTTAACCATAGAATAATTTGCAATATCTGCTAAAGTAAACCTATTTCCAACTAAATACTCCTTCTTTTCCAAGAAATCATTTAAGATGGTGTAATATTTTTTGGTTTCTTTGGTATAACGTTCAATGCAATATGGAACAAGTTCTGGTGAGAAAGTATTATAAAAATTAGCTTGTCCTTGAATAGGTCCGAGTCCAGCCACTTGGAACATAATCTAATAAGAGTAAAGAGATTAAACCTTTTTTTTTGATTTTATTCATGAGAACAAAAAAGAAAATTTTACCATACCCATTGTATAACTTGACTTTTTAATTTGGGATCCTTTGGCAATAATTTCTCTTCAGGATCATAATTTTCACCAAGATAAATTAAAATAGCACCACTTTCAAATACATTAAAATCATGATCCGTGAGAGCAAGAATTTTCCTTGTGGATTGATTTTCAAATACTCGGGGCTCTTTTGTTCTCCTTTTCAAGAGAAACATAATTCACTTTATAAGGAAGTCCTAATTCTTTAAGAGCAATGCTAACTTTTACTCTGTTGGTAGTTGAGAAAGTATGAAGAGTAATATCAGGAGATGCCATTTTTTGGTTATTATTGAAAAAACAAAATTTTTTGTTTAAATTGGACCTATTTATAAAGTCAATTCAAAGAGTGACCAATCACTGATTATAAATTTAAGCCCATTTACGATTGATGCATTATTCTCATTTTCCAAATGAACCAATTTCCCCAAAACAATGGCACAAATGTAATTTTCACAAGATTTTCTCAAGCTTTCTATAATTTAGTCTTATAAAATAATTTTTTTATTTAATAGATTTAACATTGTAATGAAAAATTAGTCATTTTTAAATGATTATGTCAGTGTTTTTGAGTATGCATTTGATATCATATTTTTTGATCTTTTTACGCCATTTCTTTCATGTTCCTTCTTCCTTTTTCACTTTCACACTACATATCAGGTTCAGGAGAAATTTTATGCATTTTAGATCTTAATTCTGACAATCTTCCCATACATTACTAAAATGAAAATCTCTAACAGAAGACATGACGTTTATCATATGCATTGATATACAAACAAATAAGAAAGAACGTGCAAGATACTTTACTTGTATTCAATATATTTATTTTATTACGCCTGTTTGCAGTGATATACATTTTTGATGTTCCAGAGATTTGTTGTCCCAGCTATATATCCCAGCTATATGTCCCAACCTGTCCCACACTATATCCCAAAGGTCCTATCTGTCCTATCTATGTCCCATCAGTGTCCCATCAATGTCCTATGACAACACTGCCTGTTTGTACATTTTGGAAAAGAAGACCCTCATTGGAGGTCAAAAAAGAAAGGATTCTGATTAGTTTAATGGTTCAAATTACAGTAGTAATTTGATCTTACTCCTTTTAGTATGAAAAATGTATTAAAAATCTTTATTATTTTTTATAGAAATATAAACAATATAAACTTAATTGGATATTATAGCTTTACATGTATTATATTTCAATATAATACTGAAGAATATGTATAAAAAAATATGCATGTATAAAAATTTTACTCTAAAATAAATATAAATTTATTCACAAAACAATTTTATAACCTTTTTTCTTTGTTATTTGTTTTTTTCTACACATTTTATAAAACAAATGGTTCAATGCAAAAGAAGTAATCAACATCAGTGGTAAGTTAAAATAGCTTTAATCAATGAAAAATTCTTTATTATTTTATTTTTTATCATCAATTGCACACTCATGTTCTTCATTCAACAACTTTGAATACTAGTTTTAAAATTTCTTTATGCAAGATATTATTATATCCTATTTTATTATTTTATTTTTATAATAAAACTTATTAAATTGAGCTAAAATATTTTCTTATTTTTTTGGATATACTATTAAATCCTCATAAAAGAATCTTATGAGAATATTGAATGAATGAAATTTTAGATATTATGGTAAAAAAGTATTGACACTCAAAACTAGGTGAAACAAATTATCTGATTTATCTAACTATAAGTAAGAGTCCCTGCTATTGTGTTTTACCTACATTCTAAAGCTTCGAATAGATTAGTTTAGGTCAAATCAATCAAGTTACTTGAACTGAGAGAATCAGGTCAGATCAAATAAAAATCTGACCTGATCTGATCTGATCAAATTATTATAAAACATTATTATTAAATGATAAAATATCATTCTTGAATAATAAAACCATCATTCATGAACGATAAAATATCATTTTTGAATGATAAAGTCATCATTCTTGAATGATAAAACACAATTAAATTATCATCAAAACTGTCATTCTTGAATGATAAAATATCATTCTTAAATGATAACGAATCATTCTAATTGAACAATGAAATATCATTCATGAATGATAAATCATTATTCTTGAATAATAAAATCATCATTCTTGAATGATAAAATATTATTCTCGAATAATAAAATCATTATTCTTGAATGATAAAACATCATTTTCAAATGATAAAACTATCATTCTTGAATGATAAAACTAACATTTTCAGATAATAAAAACATCATTCTCAGATAATAAAACATTATTTTCAGATGATAAAAACATTATTCTCAAATAATAAAACTATCATTTAAGAATGATGATTAGTTAACCCGAATTTTGTCAGGATAGGTCAGGTCAGATCGACTTGTTAACCTAATCTGACTTGAATTTTTAGATCAAGTCAGGTTAGAGTTCTGAATAAGTCAAGTCGAGTTTAGAGATCAACTCTATTTGACTCTCTTTTTTTGAGTTGAGTTGAGTCAAATTTATTTTATAAAATCTTTCAATTTAATTTGATTCGAGTTATATAAATTTTAATCTCGACTTAATTTGACTCGACTCAATTTTAACTCAATTCAATTTTAAAAAAAAATAATAAAAATAACAAAAAGATCAGAAGGGAAAGAAGCAAATAATTTGTTATTATTCTTCTTGAATGATTTTTTTATCATTCAAGTCAAACAATTCAGGTCATTATTCTTCTTAAATGATTTTTTTTATTATTCAAGTAGAACAATTCAATCATCGTTCTTCTTGAATGATTTTTTTATTATTCAAATTGAACGATTTGTTATCATTCTTCTTGAACAATTTTTTTATCATTCAAGTCAAACAATTTGTCATCATTCTTCTTAAATATTTTTTTTATTGTTCAAGTTGAATGATTTCTCATCATTCTTCTTAAACAATTTTTTTTATTGTTTAAGTTGAATGATTTCTCATCATTCTTCTTAAACAATTTTTTTTATTGTTCAAGTCGAATGATTTCTCATCATTTTTCTTGAATAATTTGATTTATTTTATCATTCAAGTCAAATGATTCGTCATCATTCTTCTTGAATGATTTGATTTATTTTATCATTTAATTCAAACGATTTGTCATCATTTTTCTTGAATGATTTTTTTATCATTAAGTTGATGATTTGTCATCATTCTTCTTGAACGATTTGATTTATTTTATCGTTCAAATCAAACAATTTCTCATCATTCTTCTTGAATGATTTTTTTATTGTTCAAGTTAAACGATTTCTCATCATTCTTCTTAAATGATTTTTTTATCATTCAAGTTAAACAATTTCTCATCGTTCTTCTTGAATGATTTTTTTATCATTTAAGTTAAATGATTTCTTATCATTCTTCTTGAACGATTTTTTTATCATTCAAGTTAAACAATTTCTCATCATTCTTCTTGAATGATTTTTTATCATTCAAGTTGAATGATTTCTTATCATTCTTCTTAAATGATTATTTTTTTATAGAATCACAGTCTTAGAACTGCAGTTTCAGGATCTGATTCTAGAATCCAGTCCTAGGATCTAAGTTTTATAAACTGAGAATTTCAGGATCAGACTAAAACCAGACTGAATTTTAACATTCCTAAAAATAATAATATTTTAAGTTAATTCGAATCAACTTGAATCAAGTCAAGTTTAAATCATGTCAAGTTAAATATTTAACTTGACTTGAATTTGGCTTGACTCACAAATCATCGAGTTGAAAAAGCATAAACTCAACTTGATTTAAACTTGACTCAACTTATCTAACTCATAAGTTAACTTGACTCATCTGGAACTCTAATTTATGTTAGGTAAACAGGTTGACCTGACCTGATTCAGATTTCTATCATATTTTATAATAAAAAAGTTTTTGATTTTTCTAGTAATCATAACCTTAAAACTAAAAATATAATAAAATCTTAATCTTACAACCCGATTTCATTCCAAATAATAACAAAACTTCATCAATTTAAAATCTATATTAATTAAGCCATCATATTTATTAAGTGATATGCTTATTCTATAAATCTGTTTAAATGTACGTTCAATTTGATGAAGTTATTTGAGAATAGTGAAGAGAAGCTGCAAATATTTATTACTTCACATTATAAAATAATAATTCAAATTATATAGTAATCCATAATTATTATATCACTTCATTTGTAATTTTTAGATTATAATAATAAAAATTTAATGATCAAATAATTTGCAGATTTAATTAATATATTGTCTGAGTTTCTTTTATAATATATTCAAATTTAAATTTCTTTTTATTTATAATTTTAAAAAAATTCTTTCAAAATTATAAATTTTATAATACAATACTTTTGACACATATAACAAATAAAATCAAAAATTTTTAACAAATTTTGCTTTAATTTTTTTAATAAAACTATCATTATCTCATATATCCCTATTAGTCTTAAGTACATTTTTAACTCATTGTGATATAGTATCAATTAGCTTTAAACAAAAATTAGCATCAATTTGATTTTATACTAATTGTATCTTATTTCACAAATCTTCTGCATTAGTAAATATTATTAGGAAGCTGTCATAAATGATGATCAATTTTGTTTTACAAATATTCAATGAGATTTAAGTCCAATGATTATAATAGCTAATCTAAAATTTTAATATTATTATTATCAAACCACTCATATGTTTTCTTTCTATATATTTTAGATTATTATTTTGTTAAAAAATAACATCATTTACATTTAAATTATATACACTAAGGGTTCTTACAAACTCATCTCCTAAAATTTCTCTATATAACTCTCTATTAATTCTTTCATCAATTTTACAATACTTTTTAATGCTAAACAAACCTATACAACCCTATATTATTATTAAACTTTACAGTTGGTTTAATATATTGTAGTTGCAAAAGTAAATTTGAATCTTTTTAACATTACTCTCTCCTATCTAAGCCAAAAATTAAGAATTTACTTTTATCTGACTATACTACTTTTCACCAATCTTATATAGTCTAATTCTTATATTTTTGAGCAAATTTTTTTCATGCTTTTCTATGTCTCTTTAGCAATAATAGTTTTTTTTAACTCTAATTATAAGACCTTGCCTTTTTAATAAGCATTAAATAATATTTGGTAAAATAATAATATTTTCATTAGAAATTAAAAATTTTTGAATTTGAATAGTATTTGTATATTTATCTGACTTACTAAGTCTGACAATATTTTTATTATGACATTCTGTAAATATTTTTAGATGGTTTAATTTAGAATAACATCAAAACTACCTATTTCTTCTTTTTTATTTAATT